CCGGGCACCCCATTCCCGGGCAGTGCCCAGCCCGCTCGCCTCCAGAAGAGAAGGCGGTGGCGACTTCTCCGTGGCCTTTCTGGGGGCGGCTGCTCCCTGCGCCCCGCGCCTGCCGGCGTCCCGGGGCCCCGCGGAGAGGCCCCTCGGTGCGCGGGCTGGCGAGCCCGGGAGCTCAGGTTAGGACTGCGTGGTGCCGACCCCACGGCGCTGCTTTTGCTGCTCAACTCGAATATGTCGCGATCTTTTAAAGAAGCCGGTTTTTGTCTCCCACACACAGACCTGCATCTGCTTAAGAGCAGGTTGCTCTCATTGTGGCCGCAGCGGTCTTCCAAGTTGTACCTGTGGGTGGTTAAAGGATTAACGATGGAAGGGAATTGGGAGCCATATTCCCCGCTTTGGCTGGGCGTTTGGTAGCAAAGGAGCGAGGCTGTCCCGCCTGCGTGTCCAGTGCCTTCGTAGGGAAGCAAGGATGCTGTGCACGCATTCCAAAAGTAAGACCAGGAGAGACGTGGCCTGGGATCGGTGCGAAGGGGGAGGGAAGTGTGGTGAGTGGCCCAGGGGGCCTCAGAGGGCTTCTCGTCGTCGTGGGGACAGTTTTGCAGAAGGCCCTCGGATGAACCCCGGTCTGCGGAGCTGGTAGTGCCCAACCCAGCCTTACAAACGTGACGTGACCGCAGACGGGGCTTGGCAACAACTCCTCCTCCTCAGAGGTATTGGTGCCCAGCCTGGACTTCTGCGGGAAGAGTTTAAACAGATGGTTTGACAAGCCTCGTGCTCCCTGGAGAGGGATGCAGATGCATGGTTGCAGCCTGAAAGCCGGCGCCGAATCTCTGCCCTCCCTTCTCCTGGCTTTCATTAGGTCTAGGGGTGAATTAATTGCCTATTGCAGAGAAATGACCTGTAGGGGGTACATCTCTTTTAGGGGTTGGCTCCTGGCCAGCCCACCCTCACTGATGCGTGGGAGGCTGCCTTTGGGCACCAGGGACAGGCTGGCCCACCTGCCTCTGGTGCACCGCACGCTAAGCGTTTGTGAAACTGCAGAATCAGCGACTATTTTTTATTTTTATTGATTGGCTTGAATAGTAATTAGCTCAGTATCCATTCACCCCTGCGTAGTGAATGAATAGAGTAATTAGCCCCAGATCACAATGGAACACAGAAGTCTCCCTCTGAGTGTCCACAAATTCCGGTGGGCATCTCCTCAGCTCTCACCACGCCCTCTGTGATAAGGTGTTGATTCTTGGGTGCCCCACTGGCCAGAGACGGGGTGAAACTATCTCTGTGGCCCCTGCACCCAGCCCCTGGCACCCTCCAAGTGCTGGTACTCGGTGTTTGTCTAGAAAACTGGGTCACCCTCTTAAATCCAGTCTGAGTCCATAACCATGTTTTTCTGTTGTGCTGCACTATTTTCAAAATGTTATCCTTAAATTAATCAAACACACACACACACACATTTGTCTTACTAGAGACAAACGTATTTCTGTTTGTATTTGGGGCAGAGAGCTCAATGGGTCTCTAACCTCAGTGGGGACTCCAGCATTTCCAGGAAGGATATTAGTTGTCCTTATCACAGAACTGGGCCCGTTGGGGAGCTAAGGCTGATTGCTGAGAGGTGAGTCCTCCCAGCTTAACCAACAGGGCCTTGAGCTGTGGCCATAGCCGCCTTCTGCATCCCTCATCCCTGCCCATGATGGAGGAAGCACTTGGGGACGTGGTGTGCTTGTAGAGCCTGCTGGCTACTTCTGATCACACCATCTTCACTCCAGTGGGCACTGCCTACCCCAAATAATGGCCCCCCAGGCAGAGCCGGGAGTGCCCCTTCTTGCACAGGCCTGGCAGTATGGTTTGCAGCTCCGTTGGGGGAGGAGGCAGGTGGTTTTGCATGGTGTTTCTGTCAGAGGTGACTGACCACTGGCAGATGGAGCCAAGTGCAGCGCTTCTGCCCCTGCCCAAGGTCAGCTCTAGAGAATACAGCCAGAGGTGTGTGTGGGGGGGAAGCCCCCAGCGCCCCCTTTTTCCGAGGTCCAGAAGAGCTGGAATTCAGAACAGTCACTTGAATGTGGGAACCTGCACTGCCCACAGTGGGGCGTGCAGAAGGCTCACGCTGTGGTGGGCTTGTCTTTCTTACCTAGATGGTCTCTGTCTCCAGGTCTGGCTCTTACCCAGGATTCCTGAAGCTGTGAAAAGCTGTTTTCTAGAAGAGGTTTAATTAATGCCTGTAGCTGTGGGTGAGAAAGGGAGGGAGGGAGGGAGGGAAGGAGGGAGGGAGAGAGACTGACTCTGCTATCTGGAGGTGGGCATGCATGAGGTCCTACACACTCAGAGGGGAAGACTTCAACCCTGGAACAAGGATCTTGGTTGGTGGGTTAGGACCGTGTCCACATTCTGGTATAGGGGTTACCATTAGGAGCAAAGTCACGGAGGGGGGAAGTGGCCCTGCAGCAATGTGAAATAAGGTTTGCTGGGCCCACCATCCTGGTTTCTAGAAGCTTTGAAAGGCCAGCCGAGAGTTGAGCTTAGCAAGGTGGGAGAGCACTGAGCCATTTAAAGTTTTTGAATGAGGGTTGTGGCCTCTTTGGAAGTGATGACTTATGCCACATTGGTCTGGGGGGAACCGCCTTACACCTAAGATGCTGAAGGGAGATTGGCAAGGGGAGAAGCAGCCAGTAGGGTTTGTGCATCTGCACTTAGTGGGTGAAGAAGAGGCACCAGCTGCCTTCTGCTAGGGTTGTGGCATTTTGAGAGAAGTCATCTCCCACGGCCCTTCTTGAATCTGACGGGCAGTTTTGTAGATGGACTGTGGCCTGGAGATACTGCAAAGCAGCCACAGGGAA